CGGTTGGCGGTAACCGCGGTATTTGAATATCAAATACCGCAACCGCAACCGCAAATGCGGTTCGGTTCTTAATACCGCAAATGCGGTTCGGTTTACCGCGATTGCGGTTTTATTTCGGTAAATTATCGGTTGATTTTTGCGGTTTTTCAGTTTTTCGGTCCAAAATGCCACCCCTAAAAAAAACCATCTCGTCATCATGGAAAAAAGAGTTTTTGATTCCCCTAAAAGAAATTAAAATACAATTATATAAATTTCAAAAAGTATATAATTTTTAATAAGATGGGCGTGGAAGGAAGACCAGTTGACAAACGAGTTGGCAAATACAGAGATGCGAGTGTGACCCAAGAACTCACCGATATCTCTAAGTCTCGGTCCTCTGCTCTCCTCTCCTCTCCACCCCATAACCAAAACCAAACCCCCCCTCCCCTTTCCACAAATCCAAAAAAGAAAAAAAAAGAAAAAAGAAAAAAGAACCGATTTTTCTCCATTAGCAATAATCTAATCTTAATACAATCCAATCCACTTATCGAGCAAGCCTCGACGCCAAAATGCGCCGGGCTTTCTTCCCTGCGCCCCCTCTCTCTTCCTCAGTCGCCGTTGCGCTGTTGCAGAGCAGCTCCGTTTTTTAGCTTCTTTGTTTCTATTATTTTTCTTTTTTCTTTTTTGATTTTTCGTTTTGGCGTTTGGGCTGGGTTGAATCTTAAATGGGGATTAGGGTTTGGCAAACTGGGATCGTGATATTGGTATTATGGGTCCGGCTAATTTCTGCCGCCGAACCCACCTCTTGCCCGACGGAGTCCGTTACCGATGCGATCTTTGGCTTCCGGTATTCCAGTTGTCCCGCTAACGGCGGTGCCAGATCCGTTGATTCCATCGGTGTTATCGTGGTACGAATCTTTTCCCCTTTTTTGTTTTTTGCTGTTAATTTTTTGAAATTTATGTTTTGGTGGTTTATACAAAGAGTTAATTTTTTATTTTTTTAATGTTAAATTTATTGAGAATTATATTGTTGGTATGTATCTGGGTTTGCTATTATTTTTTTTATTATTTGAACTTTTATAGAAGCTAAGCTTTTCAGTATGTGCATTGACCTTGCGATTAGGGTTGTATCGTCATTGTAAAAGATTAAATGGGGCATACCCATTTCTTAAATAATGCTCCAACCGAGCTTCCTGCCACTATCTGAGATGGGTTCATTCAAAGATTGCTGTTTCCAAGAGGATTATTGCAGGTTTTTGAGTTTTGCTACATTTTGTATTGAAAATGCTTTGGTGGCTTCTGATTATTTACTTGGACAAACAAGAACAATACATATCTCTAAAGCAGTCACTTGATGACCAGAATCCCGCAACCATTTTCTCCTATAAATGCTTTAATTATCACATTTAGTTTAGTGCCTTGAAGTCTTTTTGTAAAAATTATCTTTAGGGGCGAGGTAATAGAATCTGTATTGATTCCATAGTAGAATGAATCTGATGCATAAGTGTCCTGCCATTCCTTTTTTTATCTTAATTCCTTGGATTAATCTAGTGCTGAGATGACTCAGTAAGCACTTTTAACTTAGCATTGCGAACTATATATATATATATTTTTTTTGTTGGGCTGTGACCTTTGAAATTGTTTTTCACTTTTATATACATTTGTTGTTCTAATTTTATTATGTATTGTTACTTTGAAGGGAGATGAGGTTTCATTACAAAGGGCATTAAATATGGTTCACAAGAATACTCATGAATATGTGGCAGTGCTATTCTATGCATCATGGTGCCCTTTCTCGAGGATGTTTAAACCAACGTTTTCCATCCTAGCTTCTTTGTATCCATCCATCCCGCATTTTGCATTTGAAGAATCTGCTATCAGGCCAAGGTTTGTAAATATCTTATGATATAGATATTGTATATATTGTGAACGTTTTGTTATTAGCAATTGAGAACTTAACTAATTAATTCTTTGCAGTATACTCTCTAAGTATGGAGTTCATGGATTTCCTACTATTTTCATTTTGAATTCTACCATGCGTGTTCGGTATCAAGGCTCCCGGACTCCTGGTTCTCTTATTGCTTTTTACAGTGATATTACTGGTAAGGATTTTCTTTCTGTTGTATGTTTATATTTTGAACTTTATGAGAACCATCTTTAGTATTGCATAACATGTTGGTCTCTTTTCTAGTGTTTTGCATCAGCATCCAAAATCATGTTTTCTCAATACAAAATTTGCCATTCTTTAATCTGTCTCTTTGTATTTTTATTATGAAAAACTGTTTTTCCTGTGGAATGAATATTTACTGACCATAGTAAATGGGTGTAGGCATCAAGACTGTATTGGTGGACCAATTGTCCCTGGAAAAGATCGGATACCCACTAAATCATGAGAAGCATGGTAGCACTGAGCAAGAAAGCTGCCCTTTTTCATGGGCTAGATCTCCAGAGAACATGCTTCGGCAAGAAACATATTTAGCTCTGGCCTCTGCTTTTGTGCTTCTGAGATTGCTTTACTTCTTTTTCCCTACTCTACTTTCGTTTGCTCAAAGCGCATGGAGACGGAATATCCGACACATGAGATTGGGGAGCTTGTTGGAGCACCCGTTGGCCTTTCTGAAGCGAGCAGTACAGTTATTTAATTCTCTAAAAGAGCCTTGCAAAAGGAGTAATTTGCAGGAAGGAGCAATGAACGCCAGGGTTTGGGCTTCCAAGTCACTTGCCACAGTTTCCATTGGGGATGCAAGCACCAGCAGGGGGTACAGCAGTGACTGAATACCGTTGACGGTTATCTGAACAGGTTTTGATGATCCTATGAACGGCGAGGCTGCAGAATGTGTTGTGCTAGAAACTTTCGGTAATCATCTCAACACCCCTTCATTAGGGTGTTGTGCGACAGAGGTGAAACATGTCGTTGTATCTTGTTGTACAATATGTTTATCATTCAAATTGCTGAATTTGGACAGCAGTTTTTGAATAGGTTTAATAATATTAGTAACCCTTTATGTGCCACTCAAATGTGCTTATGTTGACTGTTTGTCAAACGATTGGCTGTGGCTTGTAGCTTAGAAATTTCTGATCATTCCTAATGGAGATGGAAATCCTGTGTTGTGACCCTGTAATGGATTATTGGTCTTGATTGTGTTGGGATTAATTGGAAGTTATATTTTCATCGGTCTACAAAATAGCATCCTCCATGAAATTTCATTGTCCACTCAAATTGCTTCAGAACTAAATTATAGAAACTGCTCAGAATAGTTGGTAGCGCATCAATTATATGATTAGCTCAGGGGTGGCACTGTCAGCATTCAGAAATCACATGCAATTTATATACCCAGACTCCATTATTAGCAAAAGCAAAAAAGCATTCACCATTTCCTTCTGTCAAATTCTGGCACTGGCAGCATTCAGAAATCACATGCAATTTATGTATTCTTCCGGTCAGATTCGAGTGAAACTAGGGTCTGTGGGATGATGTCTTCTTCTCGCTGGCTTATGGGTTTGATGTTGAGTGTTGGGTATTTCATATTTAAGTTTAGCAAAAGTTTTTAACTCTCTTTTCTTTCTCACTCCTCAAAAGTTCACGCCTTAATTAAAAGAATGAATGCACAACTCGTTCAAGCTCTTGACTTCCATCTTTTCAATTCCATGACAATGGATGTACCTAAATGCTAACATGAAGGACCCGTTGGAGTACACAAAATAAATATAGAAATAGATTAACAAAAAGAAGGTAGCATGGGTTATGTAAGCTGCTGCCTTATCAGTTCCTACAAGAAGCCAACTGAAGGCATTTCTTGACATTATTAGCTTCGCTTAAGAGAGTAGAGAAAAAGCCATATCGAGCAAGATGGAACCATCAAACTATAACTCCATACATCCAGACCGGGGTTAGGAATGTCACTAGTCATCTGCATCTGCCGTGCCAACTTCTTTATTTACAATCTGCGAGGGCAAATGTTCCTTTAGAACGACATACAAACAAATACAGAACATTGCATAATCAAGACCTTTTTTTTTTGGGTGAAAAAATCTAATCAAACAAATTTCACTTGCCATAGAGTAAGACTTCTCCCAAGCTAATTTATTAGAGCAATCTAACAGTGATGGAGATAAGTGGCAGCATCCTTCAAAAGGATCCACCAACGGCATGAAAACGAAGGCTCTACGGGAAAAACCATAATATGACATATGCTTGATGATGTCGGGGTTTCCTGTTTGGGACCTTACTTAATTTGGTTGGGTCCATTATAGACTGTTCTTATGTGCGCTGTACTGCAGCCGTGCAACAGCAACCCAAGAGTTCCTTTTCAATGTTTTTCTTCTGATGCACCCAGAAGTTGGTCTTTAATATCTTTTGCTGCTGCCCTTTTATGCTTATATCATAGGGTTGCACTCTTTTCTTTCGGTGTATGGATGAACTTACAAAATGTTATAGTAGCAAATGCATCTTCTCTCTGGCTGAGGCCGTCAGGAGTAATTCCTAGAAAGCTACGAGAGTGATTCAAGTAGAATATACCATCTTCTTGTAATCTCTTCTAGTTCCTTATATTTTGTGTTGTTCTTTACTCCCAAAAGTTTACAGCAATCATATATCCTCAAAATAATAATTAGCATTCCCTCATTGTCCTACATCAAACAGTTTGTATAACCTATTCCTATTCTCAGACCACTTCCTCGCCTATATCAATATCCACCATAGTTACACTTTAATCTCCATATCCTAGAAGATAGGCAGCTACACCAAGAACACAAATCTTCTTGCATTTGATTTTTCGCTCCTGTCTATTTCCTTTATGTACTGGCTGCAGTCAACTCTAATAAAACCCGTTGAACTCAAGGATAGTGAACCAATGTGCAGATTGTCAACTTTCCTTAATGTTGGCTCCTTGTTTTATTTTCTTTTACCATCTTCATTAATCTAGATTGCTGATTTCACGTCTCCCTCTACAGCACTGCCTTGCACAAACTTTCAAGTTTTGTTTCTCAGTGTTCATAATTTCAATTAGTTGAGTGGAGACACCAAAGATTTGTGCCTTCAATAACCTTATGAATTGACGCAAAGAGTCCAATTGAGTTCATCAATTTGACAATAGTGCAAGTTCGAATACATAAATTTTCCAAAAAATATCTATTGCCTTGTTTGAGATGAGATATCTACAAACTTCAAATAGAACTTACTTATAGCTACACAAGATACATAATGATGAACAAATTATAGAAACATTATGTACCTCTAAATGATACCTGTGCTATGTACGCTTTAATGCTGTCACTAACTGGCGCATCTAAAGCTCTCTCAGCAAGCTCATAGAACAAAGTATGACCTTCAGGTCCACTTACTTTGTCTTTCTGCAAATATCTAAAATAAAGAGTACTTAAGATAGATACCTACATCAATAATATTGTGACATTCAAACGAAACTGCAAATTAACAATCCATAGTAGACAGGTCAAACCTTTGCTGGACAAGTGTCTCCAGTGCTTGTTTTATGTTTCCTAGGACTGGATGGCTTTCATTTTTTTCATCCAATCCCATCCGTCTCAAATGACGCCAAAGATCCTCTGCAGTTCCAGCAAGAGCATAAGAGTAGGTTCTCTCACAATATGACACAATTTAACAAAAAAAGGAACAATTTCCTCATTGATTTTTAGCAATTTTTAAGACAACAGAAGATGATGTTTGATCTGTCACATTTTGCTAGACAAAATCATTATATGAAAAGATGTAGTATGGCCCAGCATGCAGTTCATCAAAGAATTTCCCTAACAAATAAGTTGTTTCCGACCGAACTATTATCCCAACTATCCTGGCATCTTCCCATTCTACTAACTTGTAAGCATATAATTATAAAACAAACCATGAAGCAGTCATACCTTCAGTGGTTTTACCACCAGAAATATGTACAACACTTAGTACGACAAAAGTGAAACCAGTGAGAGGAGCCGTACGATCATCCTCAACATACTTCTTATACACATCCGAAGGAAGTTTACTCAAAATGACGTAGGATTTTGCCTCTGCAACACCTGAATAACGTGTTCAAAAAATTCGTCAAAACCCCAACCCTCAAAGTTATCACTGAACGATGTGGACTATACACTATGCACAATTCAAAATTGAGGTTGCACAAAAGGGGCCATATCACCCAAATCGTCCATTATATATTACTTTGGCCAACATTGGCCCATATGGTATCCCACATGGATCCCACATAAATGGAGTACACAACCGAGATTGGTAAATCACAACCATCAATTATTTTGCAGAAAATAATAGGTAACACGAAAAAATCACAACTTTGAGCTTAATTAATAAGAATCTTACTCTGTTGGGAAAAGCGTCCCTGATTAGTGGAAGAGGGACGAGACCTTTGAAGCTCCCTCATTTCGTAGCCAAAGATGGTGGAAAGCTTCTGTATAGCCTCGTTGATGACGAGCGTGGGAAGATTTCGCTGATGATAGTTTTTGGTGAGCAGCTGAGTGAGCTCTTCCCTCTTTATTGGACAGCCCGAGTTGTGGTGCGTCTTGAACAGCACGTAGCGGATTACTTCTGCTACAAGCTTGTCCTTTTCCTGAGAAAAAAAACACCCACAACAAAAGATTGAAGCTTTTTGCAGAAATCTTTGTCTCAGAGGCTGAGATTGAGATTGAGAGTGTGGGATTTGTGTGCTTACCTCTTTGGAGATATCGAATTGAGACAGATAATCAACCGGCTGTGACATGATCGAGAAAATTTGGGGAATTCTTCCTTCAATCTAAAAACATAATCCCCTCACTGCCCTCTTTTTTTGAAGGGCGTAGGTGAGGTTGGGCCTGGTGGCTGGGCTGAGCCTGTTTTCTTTTCCAACAATTATCTTTCTTGAGATTTGAATTCATAATCTCCTTGAAGAAAGTGGAGATCGAATATGAAACTAATGATTTGAGTTTTTTTTGAAGCTCCAACTTCAGCAAAAGTTTAATAACTCAACTTTAGCAAAAGAAAGGAGTACAGTCCGATATTTTATGTTTTGAATGTCAACTTTTTTTAATATTGCTTGTAAAATATCGGATTGTACCCCTTGCATCCAAGATTCTTAGGTTTGATTTCCGTCTCTTGCAATATCACTTGTTATTAAAAAATAATAATAATGCTAAGTTTATCACATTTTATGCTATATTGTGTACCACATTTCTAATAGAAATGAAGTCCACCAATACAATGAGGTTCATTTCTATTAAAGCGATGATACAGAATGTGGTATAAAAATGTAATAAGCTTAGCACTTTCTTGAAAAAAATAACCGTAATTGAAGATTGGAAGGAAGTTGACGACATGTAAAGTTGTATTGTAACCATACAAAGTGGAGCCCGCTTGTAATGCACCACTCACCAATCTCAGTCTGAGCCTCTCTCTCAATGAAACAACCATGTGTGATTCAGTGGTTGTCGTCCCGGTCAACATCGCACCCAACCACGTTAACCCATGTGATCCTCGTTCGGACCTAATTCCATCTTCATAAATTCCATACCCATTTCACACCATTGATCCTACTCCCTGTAACCTCCACTAACCATATCCAACGGTCGCTTGGATCCTCCTTCTCAGAACAGAGCATATCAATACCAGTTTCCAAGTTGCCAAAACCAAGTTCTAGACAGAACACAGAGAAAGAGAGAGAGAAGAAGCTATGGACACTGAGAGAAAAAAACATGTTTACCTGGCGAAGCTTGCTGAGCAAGCCGAGAGATATGATGGTATGCTCTTCTTGCATGGACCTCCATTCTTTCACTATTTTTTCCCTTTTCTAAGAATTTATGTGTCTTATAATAACAGTAACAAAAATAATAATATCATCTTTTGGGCTATGTCTATATAATATTATTAATTTTGGGTAAGTTGTATTTAGTGTTGGGAATTCATTTTTAATATTTCATGCACCAAAGAGCGATTTATGAGTTAGCAGATGTATGGATTAAATGTTGTAATATGTTTTTCTTTTTATTTTGATTGATGGTGATTGATCCTATTGAAAGGGGAGGAAATGAACAAAAGTGATATACTAATAAATGGTTAGGTGTTCCCAGCAAGAGCCAAAAAAATCCCAGTTGTTTACAAGCATAACTGATTATGTGAAACAAGAATGATTGTGAAATATATCATCTTACAAGCAAACCCCAATTCTTCACCTGTTCATTTTAGTCTCAATGGGAAACCACTTATTTGGTTTGTGTGGCATATGTAATTATCTGAGAATTAATGGAAAGGGTTTATTTTAAATTTGTTTAGCATTTAAATGGATCTCAATTTGAATATAAGGGTCTGTTTGGGAGTGCTTCTGAAATGGCTAAAAGCGCTTCTGACAGTGTTCGGCAGAAAATTTTAGAAGCACCTCTGGGTCATAGAAGCGTTTTTTTGGAAAAGCACCTGCTATGTGTTTCTAGCACTCCCAAGTGCATTTCCAGGAAGCAATTGAATTTTTTATGAAAATTCAAGATTTTTATAATAAAAACGCTTTTGTTAAAAGCGCTTATGAGCAGAAGTACTTCCTGGAGAAGCAATCCTAAAACGAGCCTTAGTATTAGTATTATCATTCTTGCAATAACTTTCTGAAATGCTGCTGCTGCTTTGAGTTTTGAAGTCGTTTGCGGTGCAAATAGTTTCTGCATTGGCGGTTTCATTTCTACTATGTGTTTAATTAGTTGAAGTCAAGATGGAACTCTTATCACTTGGTATAAAGTAGACAGCTTATGTATTGTTTAGGATATTAGCCCACAATCAATTGCATATATGTGTAATGCATCAATTTTCTTGTTTTCTTGTTTCAGAGGTGGTTGAAGCAATGAAGAAAGTTTCCAAGTTGGATGTGGAACTGACTGTGGAGGAGCGGAATTTGGTATCGGTTGGGTATAAGAATGTCACTGGGGCAAGACGGGCGTCATGGCGGATATTGTCTTCCATTGAACAAAAGGAGGAGGCCAAGGGAAGTGAACAAAATGCTATGAGGATAAAGGAGTACAGGCAGAGGGTTGAAGATGAGCTTGCAAAAATTTGCCATGACATTTTAACAGTTATTGATTACCACCTCCTTCCATCTGCATCAACAGAGGAATCTACTGTTTTTTACCAGAAGATGTGAGAGCTACTTTTCTCCTCTTCTGTTGAATTAAAATATTCAGTTAAAACAAACCATGGAACTATGATTACTTGGAAACTTTAAAAGCTTAAGAAGTTATGCAAGCTGATAGCATATTTTCTTTAGCTTAGAGAAAGAGTTGAATTATTTTTTACATAGTTCATACAGCCAAAAAGACCATGATTGCTTTTTTCTGATTCAACTTGTTTTCACCCTAGTGGATATCATAAAACAGGGGTATTTGCTTTGGGTGCTTCCATTTGGTTATGAATTTCTTACCTTTGATGACTTTTTGTGTGTGTTAGGTTAGGAGGGATCTTCACTTCAAAGCCCATTCCTTTTGACATACCTTGTTACCATGCAAGTTGATGTTATGTGAGAGAGAGAAAGAGGTTTGAGTGGTGATCCTTCTTGTTCCCCGTGACAGGAAAGGAGATTACTATCGATATTTGGCTGAATTTAAAGCTGGTGATGATCGTAAAGAAGCAGCTGATCAGTCGCTTAAAGCCTATGAGGTATTCAGCTTCCTAGCTGGAGGCAATTTTCTCTATCATGTTTTCACTTTCCTTTTTTTTCTGTTTTTTCTTTCTTTCTCTATCTTGTTATATTCTGATATTAAGAATGAGATTGTAATGAAACTGACATATGCGCGGTAGGTTGCCAACGATACTGCTGACTCTGAGTTGCCCGCAACCCATCCAGTTAGACTTGGCCTGGCTCTAAACTTCTCTGTTTTTTACTATGAAATTCTCGACTCCCCTGAGAGGTTTGCTCTCTCTCTCTCTCTCTCTCTCTCTCTCTCTCTCTCCCCGTTCCTGTTATTTGTACGTTCTTTAATGCTTACTCTTACTGTAGTGAGTCACCACTTTTGTGTTTCATTTGCAACTTTGCACCATGCAGGGCCTGTCATTTAGCTAAGCAGGCATTTGATGAGGCAATTGCTGAACTTGACAGCCTCAATGAAGAATCCTACAAGGACAGCACCCTTATTATGCAGCTTCTCAAGGATAATCTCACATTGTGGACCTCAGATCTGCCAGAGGAAGGAGGTAATTTTATGAATAATTTTCTTTCCTTCTGCATTGTCTTGAATCTTGGGTCAACTTGATGATATATCTTCAATTATGGGTGTTGTAGATTTATAATTGAGAAACTAGATATGGATCTTAGCTTAACTTTGGTTTAGTTGCACCATCTCATATAACAAGGATATTTATGCAAGTTTACAAAATTTTGTGAAATGTGATGTGTGAGTTCAGTTATCCAAATTTAATTATCATTGATATGGCACATCATGCATATCTCTGTAGCAAATCTCCCTGATCGTAGCTTAGGTCTTTCCTTCGGGTGAAATCGAAGATGTTAGCTTGTTGTGCACTTCATACCATGGTGTTCTCCTGCTTAGAATTTAGGAACTGCTTTTTTTTTTCTTTTTTTTTTTTGGTCAATAGGAACTGCTTTTAAACAGTCTAAAGTATGAGACTTCCATGAATGTCGAGTCTAAAGTTGCACATGTTGAAAATGTCAGATTGGGTTTACTAGTGCCTTCTCTTGACAATGTGATCTGAATTGATAAGCTGAGTTTTCCCGGGCTGAGACTCATCTGTATTATCTGTCTATTAAGAATTTCTGGATATATATATATATATATATATAAGGGGACTATATATATACAGAGAGCTTCCATTGAGGGATCCCTCAAATAAGCTTATTTGAGGGACACCCCTTGTAGGGCCCACTCCGGATTGTATTTCACTAATCCAAACCGTCTATTTTGTACATACATATTCAAAGATCATCTCTACAAAAAATCACTTGAATCCGATATCTTTTGACCATGCAATTGAGTTATTGAAATTTAGT